TGTATTGAGCAACAACCTACTTCGACATAAGAAATTACACTTTCAACACATCACCTAATTCATCATGTCTAAGCTATTTATATTCATCACAACTCTTAGTATTCTGAATACTTCGAGTTGTACACCCTTTGCAATGATGTCTGCAATTTGATTCTTAGTTCTGCAGTGTTCCAAGTTAATCTTCCCATCTGGTACTTACCCTCGAAGACAATGAAACCTTATCTCGATGTGCTTGTTCAACCTTGTGCTATCAGGTTCTTCTCCATATTGATAGTTGACATGTTGTCGATCTTCATGGTAATTGCTCCGTGATCTTTCCCTGTTGTTGTACCCTAAAAATTTTCCTCTCATCTTTCTCAAAACATTCTTTCAAGACTCTTCAAAATAATCAAGACACTCAAGGGTGATTAGTCAAGATGCACCTCCTAAACCAAAGGTCTATAACTAGGGTTTGAAGTTTTTCAAGGATATTTGGTGTGCAAAGGTCTCAAATTGCTTCCGTGTTTCTTCTTAGGTCCTCAAAAAGCTTCATGTCAAGTTTCAAGCCCTACATCACAATTTTGCTCAGTCAATGGTTCAAATGTTTGAAAATCAACTGTATTGGTCAAAAATTCAACTGTAGTCAACACACGGTCAAACTTCAAGATTTTTGGTCAACATCAACATTTTGAGGTAATATTCATAATTTTATCAAGGGTTGATCATGATTCTCCAAGGAAAGTCCTCAAATCTTCAAAAGTCAAGATTTGTCAAATTAGGGTTTCCTTAGGAGAAGTCAACTAAACTTTGACCAGGCATAAATTTCACATGCTTCATCAACTTTTCCCCAACCAAAGCTCATTTTGAATAAAATTCAATTCTCGACAACTTTTATTTTGTTATCAAGTCCAAAAAATGCTTCATTTGGAAGATATGAGCTCACACATTATAGGTCATTTTCAAAAGTCAACAAAAGACACTCTTTGTCAAGGCAATTTACATCAAGATAATTTCTTAAATATCGAACATTTTCAACATAGAGATTGTAGAAGACATTATGGGATTTCCAAAAAGTCCTAGATCATCTTCAAAAAGTGAAATTGAGCAAGTTATGGTTTGCACAAGTCAACTATGAGCAAAATTGCATTTCTAGGTTAGTGGATTTAACTTTTAGGGTTCAAATATATTTATGACATGCCCAAGGACCTCTAAATATAACCATGCCCTATTGTGATTTTTATGTCTATTTATTTTAATAATTATTCATTTAAATATGAGTTAAATCACATAAATAGAAAAAATTAATGGGCTAAGCATGCAAGGCTTATGGGCTGGAGCATATGAAGCCCAAAATCGTGCAAGATACATAGAAAGTGTCTAGGTTCATGCAAAATTCAAAAATGGAAAGAATCATATGATTTTAGCATTTTTTCAAAATGAGATTTTCTTGTTTAATGCCATGGTTAATGTGCTTATTCTCTTCCACATTTGTTTACCTCATTCCTCCCTCTATATAAAGAGCAAGAGTGCAAGCAAGAGGACACGGGCACAAACTGCTAGAGAACTCTACAAAACTTACAAATATTATAAATTTTTTAAAAATTCGTAGCTGTATTTCCACCCATCATTAGTCAAAACTAAAAGCATAAATCATTCCCTGAGAGTCCAAGGAGTCACTTCCAGCCGTCATACGAGCCTGAGACAATTCAGAACGCGATATCTCCATCTCACCGATTTGGAAAAACTTTTCTCAATTGAATCTCAGAATTTATGCATTGTCCACTCATTTTATTTACATAGATCGCTTAATATGATTGTTTAGAACATATTTGACGCATTACTTTTGAGGTTTGACGCAGGGATAGAAAAACGCCATTATTAGGGTATAAAACTCAGTTTGGTTCGTACCTCATGATACAGTTGTTTTCAGACTAAACCAATGCCATGGTTGGATTCGTAGCATGCGAATTATGAGGGGTAGCCTGAATTTGGAGCTTTGATTTTGCTTATTTTTGCAAATCGTATTTTGAGCAACCAAAGAAGGTGATCGGAGTTTGACTCCGTCACCCCTAGAATTCGTTGACTCCGATCAACGCTTGTGAGGAAAAAAGCCATATTCTGGTTGGCCTGTTTGAATTCATCTGCGCGTGCATTTTATTTTAAAATATAACTGAGCTTTTTTTAATATATTTGTTTATTTGTATTTGATCTAACGAATGAATGATCTGGCCCAGTGGCAAGCAGCGCGTGTTTAAGGAACTCCCTCCCCAAGACCTGGGTTCGATCCCAAGTTTTACATTTTTGTTTTTCAACATATTTTTTTGCAGGTTATTGAGCGCTTGGGCCTTCACACTGATGGATTTAGGGGCTTCAGATCTACACCCCTCTTTTTCCTATTGTTACGCCTGGACCTCCCCATTTTGGGCCTGGTGAATTTCAAACTTTCACCCCCGTGATTGTTGGTTACAACCCGGCCCATTATTAGCCCCCAGAGTAGGTGTTGTTGTACACTGAACTGGGTTAACAGTCCTCTGTGTTTTTAATGCTTTTATTATTGTTGCACTTTACATTGTCCTTAGATATTTGTGTCGTCATATCTCCTTTGATATCACATATCTGATACCTGAATTTCATTGTTAGTCCTTTTAGTTCATTCTCAAGTGTTTCAATTTTTCATAAAATAGGTTTCGTATCATACTTGGCCATGAAATCAAATCGGGTATGGCTTTTCTTAAATGAGATTTATTGTACGAGTGCATGGTTGTCATGGGAAAATGTCTAGGTAACAAATACTGTTATGAATCAGAGCGACATGGTCATACTAAACGGTCAAACTTCCTATAACTTACTGACACTTTGTAATATGTCATGTCAATTATTTTTCTAAGAACGTGGAAAATTATGGTAAGCTAAACTGCATGCTTGAGTACATAGAGATTTTCCCTAAAAATAGGAATTTCCTCTGTCAATTAATGCTTTGTTTACAATTGTGACTCTGGTTCATTGCCAGTTGAATTTTCTTATTACCAATTGTAGTTTCGTTTGTGTGAATATATTTACCACCGACTTGTGAATATATTTACCAAACGCTCAGTTGTTTATCTAGAATGATTTTCTTATATTAATTTATGTACCATGTTCTTTGCAGAATGGAGACGAAGAAGCTTGTCATCAAGATATGAAAGAAGAACAAGAAGGAGGAGATGCTCAAAAAGAAGAATATTATGATATATGAGTTTAATTAATATAAGTTTTGTTTTATATTATCCATCTCTTAGAAGTTTAGTTTTAAATTTGGGACCACTCTCTTTCTAGAAATTTGGTTTTGTTTAAGAATGATAATATCATAACTTATCTATATTTTTGCGACTTATTAGTCAGTAGCGTCACTTGATGTAGACTTACTTTTTTTTAATGAATATTTTGACGTTTTGGCTTAATGTTTTCTTGTATAATTATATTTTAATTTTTTTATTCAATATCTACAAAAATGAGTATTGTTGTTGGAAGACATTTTATATTGATCTAAAATGTTTCTTTATGCCATGGCATGAAGAACACCATCGTCACAACTATGCGGTACAACAAGAAACTGTGGCCTACTTAAATGGTGTAAAATTTTGAGAAAAATTTAATCACAGTTTTAATTAGTAGCCATAAACAAACTGTGGATAAACCTAGGCAACTAAACCGTAGGCTATAAATTAAATAAGAATTGTGGCTAGATTTGGCCACCGATAATAACTAAGGCGCAAGTACCTCTCATCTGGGAAAATTTGTTTAATTTCCTTTAGTAGCTAAGAAAAATTGGTAGAAAATATAAGTTCTTGTTTATTACAAGGTTTCAAAATTGTCTATAGCATTGTTATTTTTATATATGTGTTTTAAAAAATTATTATGAATAAACCGAGCAAGATTAAAAAAAATCCATTAGGAGATCACAATTAAATCCTATTCATCAACTATCAACATATAATCAGACAACATTATAGATGAAGAAGAGAAATTCTTGTTTTCATAAATAATATGGTTCAGAAACTGTTGTTTACAAATTGTGTACCTACCATGCTCTAAGCACCGGTTTAAACTAAGATTTTGGGGTCAATAATTCGTGTTTTTCCCCAATATAAAAGAAATAACAGAATGTTTTATACAGACATTAGGTAAAAACAAACTACTAAGTAGTAGTATGAACAACAACCACGGTAGAAACCATATAACAATGCAAATCAGTAGTAATAGCACACCAGTTCATCAAATCAAATCACTAACATATAAACATCAGTTCTAACCAACATAAATACAATCAGTTCACAATTTAAACATCAGTTCTAACACATAAACATCAGTTCACATCAGCAAACATGCATCAAATCATGTCCACACATGCACATAAACATAAATACAAAAATTCTAACCAACTGCATTCCACCCTATTCAAACATAAAATCAATTTAACAATAACAATACTAACAGTCAAATATTAACAAAACTAACAATCTAACAATTTAATGAAAAATGCTGACATAGTTTAACAGAAAAATTAACAAGAATAATTGAACTAACTAACAATTAACATCACTAACACCAACATAACATAGTCGTTAACTTGAATTTGTTACTATTAGACTTTCTCAACCTCAATTCCATACCAGTTTCAACCCTAGTTACTCACCCAAAAAAAAAAACTCAGTGCCACTCTCATTGTCAAGACCTTCAACCCTATTTACTCACCTCAATCCACTCAGTTTCAAATCACCATAACAAAAATATAACCTTAATAAACACAACAGTTATAACAATATAGGTAAAAATGTAATCATAACTAAAGTAAAAATGAAACCATACCGTCGGTATTAGTGCAACTAACTCCAATGATAATCGACAAGGGAAAGCTTATATTGGTACCTCAACAAAGGAATAAAACTGCAAAACAAAATCTAGATTAGATCAACGCAAATGAACTACATGCATCCTTGTAGAAGAAAATCACGAAAGAAACGACTGAAGAAACGAGGAACATGAGGAGAGGAGAACAGGAGAAGCCGAGAAGAGGATCGTACAGAAACAAAATGAGAATGAGGAACACGAGGAGACACGAGGAACAGAGGAGACGCGATGAAGAGTATTGTACAAAATCTAGGTTAGATGCATCATTGTTTTTATTTGTATTTACTTTTTCAATTTTTTAATCTAAAAAAATAGAAAAGAAAATAATTAACGAGAGGGAAACTAAAAAAAATAAAAGAAACTCTGGCGGGATATATTTTTTTGAGCTTGGGTCACAGTTTGAAATAAAAATTATAATGTCTCAGTTTTTCTTTATGGCTTAAAATATCTACAATTTATTAACCATAACTTAAATATAAATGATTTTATAACTATAACAATTGAAGAAAATACCATAATTTCACACTTCAGATTCAATATTTCAAAATATATATATAATTTAAAAAGTCTAGCCAAAACTTATGTGACTATAATTTTTGAGTTGTGGAAAAATTAGCATAGCGAAAAATGTTGTAGACACTTTTTAATTAGAAAAAACTAATATGCAAGGATAAAGATAGTATTAATTACAAAGAAAGACGACAATATATTGGTTGTTGGCATCATTGGTTGAGTATCTCTCGGAACTATTAATTATCATTTTTATCATTAGAAAAATGGGGTCTATTTTAAAATTGCAAATGGTTCGCTCTCACAGCTCATGATCTTGTAGAAGAAGGTAAGGTCAATAATTCATGATTTAATAAATAATAAACATCTTCATTTGCAAATGGTTTGAGAATTTGAGAAAGTTGAATAGTTGCTGAAGTCATGTGCAACTTCCTCCTAATTTCCAACAAAATAATTAACATTATATTACAAATAAATTATATATCTTCTATATTTGAGTCGGTTTATAGCAGCTAGTTGTGACTACATATATCAATCAATATATTATATATTTAAACATCCAGCAGTTACTATAACATTTTTAATCTATGATCACGTTAAATTTGTCCACAACTCAAAAACTGTGGTCAGATACTAATTTTGAATAGGGTTTTCAAATCGCAGTTATATGTTTGAAAATATTGAATCTGAAATGTGAAACTGTACTCTTTTTTTTCAATTGACATGTTCACAAAATCACACTTATATTTAAGTCACAGTTAATAAATAATAGATATTTTAAATCTTAAAGAAAAACTGTGATAATATAATTTTCACTTCAAACTATGGCTCAAACCTAAAATTATATATCCCGCAAGAATTATTATTTGTTTCTCTCATTTCTTATTTTCTTTTCAATTTGTTTATATTAAGAAAAGGAAAAAAAAATGAAAAAGTAATTATATAACGCGCTTGGTTAAGACAAAATGATTTTTAAAACATAATTATTGAGCACTAAGTTCTCACGATTCTATCTTTTTTCCCCTTTTTTATGAGCTCCTCTTTTCTTTCTTCAACAACGAAACTTTAAAATTTTCAGAAAAGTCTTTCCTTCGTTCTCTCTTGACTTTTACTCATTAGTGATTTTTTCTCTTGTCAAATAAATAATAAACAAAATACTCTTTTTGGTTTTGTATGTTAATATTAATATTCATTTTAGTCTATTAATTAAATAAAGCTTCGCATTGGCCCTTTAACTCTTAAAACACTTTATTTTACTCATTTTTATCTAACTAGCGACGGAAAAACTCATAAATCAATCGTTAAATTCGTTGCTAATTAGACAAAAGAAACTAAAATAAAGCCTTTTGAAGAGTTAAATGATTAATATGAACCTTCTTTAAATTAAAGAGACAAAATGAACATTGATGTTAATTTACAAAACCAAAAAGAATAGTTTACCTAAATTATATATCTTCTTATATTTGACTGGGTTTATAGAAGCTGGTTGTGACTACATATATCAATCAATATATTATATATTCAAATACCCAACAGCATTGGTGTTTTTTCTCTAGCTTAGTTTATTTGGAAAATGCGATAAATCTTCAATATAGTTTAAAAATGGAAGACTAAGAGGTGTAGTTTCCATATTATAAAAGCTAACATAGATGCATACATATTACATATTCTTCACAGCAAACCTTTTTAGAAGAAATTGAATTCGGTATCCTCAACACTTTATCTAATGTTTCTAGCATTCGTACAAGTGTGGATAGTAGTCTCAATAGTATAAGGGGAACACACCATCCAATGTTTCCAGCATCCGAACAAGTGTGGATAACAGTCTCATAAGCATCAGGGGAAACACTTTATCTAATGTTTCTAGCATTCGTACAAGTGTGGATAGTAATCTCAATTGTATCAAGGGGAACACACCATCCAATGTTTTCAGCATTCGGACAAGTGTGGATAACAGTCTCATAAGCATCATGGGAAACACTTTATCTAATGTTTCTAGCATTCGTACAAGTGTGGATAGTAATCTCTAGGGGTGGACAAAAAACCGGAACCCGTCCGAAACCGTTATGTCCGATATGGAAATTTGTTGATACGGACGGATATAGATGGGTATCAGATGTGGAAAGATGGAAAAATCGAGTTTCAATGGATATCTTTGGTTCGGTTCGGATGATGAAAATTTATCCAATGAAAACCATAACCGACCGAAGTGTATTATTTTTATCTGAATAGTATAGATAGTTGTTTTCAAAACTCCAAAAACTATTATTTTAATGTTATTACTACAATGATGGTGTTCACGTGTCCATTATATTGAAATTTACTTTTTCATTCATATATTCTCTGTTCATTTTCTTCTCTCTCACCAATAATTACTTTCCTCTCTCTCCAAGACACAACACAACACTTCACTTTCCTCTCTTTCCTTTCTCTCTCCAAGACAGAACACAACACAAGACTTCACACTTCTCAAACAACATTTTTAACTTCTATATCTGAAACATGCTAATCTCTATCACGATAGCTTTTTCTATCAGTATTTATATGCCCTGTTAACATCTCTATACAAGATACTGCAACTATTTTTTGACAAGAAGAAACACTTATTTTGTTCTTCTACTCATATCTTCTTTAATCATGCATTCTGGATCTAGCTTCAAAACGGAATAATATATTTACAAATGTTCAAAACAAGTTATTGTATTGTTTGATTTTAGTTGATTTTTCATTGTTTCTCATTTTAAATGTATGAGTTTCTCTCTTTTTATTGGTCGGTGTTTTTCTGGTTTTGATTTTGATATTTTGTTCAATTTGTGATGTTAACCGATGAACCCACCCGCGAAAACCGTTATCCGAGAGAACCGCCACCCATAAAAACCGATATGTGAAATGGACGGCAGTGGATTGAAGTATGAAATCCAATGGGTTTGAGCGGTGAAGGATTTTCGATCCGAAACCGCCCGCTGCCGACCGTTGTCCATCCTTAGTAATCTCAATAGTATCAAGGGGAACACACCATCCAATGTTTCCAGCATTCGGACAAGTGTGGATAACATTCTCATATGCATCAGGGGAAACACTTTATCTAATGTTTCTAGCATTCGTACAAGTGTGGATAGTAATCTCAATAGTATCAAGGGGAACACACCATCCAATGTTTCCAGCATTCGGACAAGAGTGGATAACAATCTCAAAAGCATTAGGGGAAACACTTTATCTAATGTTTCTAGCATTCGTACAAGTGTGGATAGTAATCTCAATAGTATCAAGGGGAACACACCATCCAATGTTTCCAGCATTCGGACAAGAGTGGATAACAGTCTCATAAGCATCAGGGGAAACACTTTATCTAATGTTTCTAGCATTCGTACAAGTGTGGATATTAGGCTCAATAGTATCAAGGGGAACACATCATCCAATGTTTCTAGCATTCGTACAAGTGTGGATAATAGTATCAAATCTTCAAAGTATTCTCAATATTCGTAAAAGTGTGGATAACAATTTCAAAAGCATAAGAGGAAACAAATTTTCAGGCATTATCTCGATTTTGAAGCACAAATGAATATTGTGACTGCGGGATTTCTAATAAGCATAATTTGTAACCATGTGTGTTTTATGGTTGTTTTGAAAATGTAATTTTTTTTTTGAATAAATAGGTATTAAAAAAAATCGCAAATAACCATGTTTTGGAGAAAATTACACAAATAATCATGTTTCAGAAAATCCCATAAGGGAGGAGCCAACCCAATTAGCACATGCACCTTATTTTGAAAGGAAGACGTCATCTCACTTGGCGCCTATGTGACAGCCTTGGAGAAGGCATCTCTGCATGCATGTAACACGATTGGACGTGAAGGGAGGCGAATTAGAGGTTGCTTACTGTTGGTTTATTCAAATTCAGTACAACCTATTTAATCTTACATTTATCAAAACACTCCTACACTTAATCACTCAAACACTAGAACATTAAAAAATTCAAGCAATTAACTCAAATACTTCATACCTTCAAACCTTCAAACAGTCATACACAATGGCCTCTGCACCCCAATATGTGATCAGTGCACATTTCAACAGTGAGACATACATTTGTCTCACCTCTGGGTTTTTGTTTATAGACACTGAGAACATCTGATTTTGTTTAAACAGGAAAGTCAATTTCTTGTATTCCAAAAACTAATTGGAGGCCAAACATGGACGAGCTCCCGTGACACAAATCTTTTATCAGAATCCGGTTTTTTTTAACAACCAAATAATATTTTATAAGGTTGAGGTTCAAGATGACAAGGACCTTCATAATATGTTTTTCAGTCATGAGTATTCTGGATACGACTCTATTGAGTTGTACATTATGCTGCGAGAGCCTCGGCTGTCACAAGTGGTTGATCCTCTGGAGACCAAACAAGCAGAAGTAGATGTCGTTGACGAAGAAGAAGAAGATGACGAGTTGGAGTTTGAAGACATGGTCAATGATGATTCCGAAGACGATGGGATACCTGGTATACCTTCAAACGAGATCTACACACCACCTCCGCACATGACAAACTTCAACATGGGCGGAGATGAACCGTCATCTAATTTATTTTTCAATCCGTATATGCAGTCGGATGAAAACTTAAAAGAGAAAGACAAATTTCGTAATAGACAAATCTCTTAAGAATGTGGGATATGCATTGACACAACCTACGTTCAAATATTATCGCAACGAGATCCGTTTGTCAAATCCGGGCGCCGGTAGGTGGATCGATAACATTCTGGTAGAAAAATGGACTAGGTCATACGACAATGGACAAAGATGGGGCCACATGACAAAAAATCTAATTGAATCCATGAACGGGGTATTCAAAGGCATACGAAACCTCTCAGTAACTGCTTTGGTTAAATCAACATATTTTAGGATGGCTTCGTTGTTTGCCAAAAGAGGTGAAATATGGAATGTTGTGTTGCAATCTGGACAACTATGGAGTGAAAGCTGCATGAAGTATATTAAGGCAGAAAGTGCCAAATCCAACACCCATCTGGTTATACGGTTCGACCGACACAACCACAACTTCATTGTCAAAGAGACAATCGACCACAACGAGGGCCTGCCAAGACAAGAGTATAAGGTTTTACTACCTTCTCGTTGGTGAAATTGTGGCAAGTTTTAAGCCTTCGTATGCCTTGCTCTCATGTCATTGTTGCGTGTGCCTATACTCATCATGACATGCTACATCTTCTGTCTCCCATTTACAACTCAGTTTGGTTCGTACCTCATGATATAGTTGTTTTAAGACTAAACCAATGCCATGGTTGGATTCGTAGCATGCGAATTAGGAGGGGTAGCCTGAATTTGGAGCTTTGATTTCGCTTATTTTTGCAGATCGTAATTTGATCAACCAGAGAAGGTGATCGAATTTTGACTTCGTCACCCCTAGAATTTGTTGACTCCGATCAACGCTTGTGTGGAAAAAAGCCATATTCTGATTGGCCCGTTTGAATTCATCTGTGCGTGCATTTTATTTTAAAATATAACAGAGATTTTTTAAATATATTCGTTTATTTGTATTTGATTTAACGAATGAATGATCTGGCCCAGTGGCAAGTAGCGCGTGTTTAAGGAACTCCCTCCCGAAGACCTGGGTTCGATCCCAAGTTTTACATTTTTGTTTTTCAACATATTTTTATGCAGGTTTTTGAGCGCATGGGCCTTCACGTTGATGGTCTTAGGGGCTTCAGATCTACACCCCTCTTTTTCCTATTGTTACACCTGGACCTCCCCATTTTGGGCCTGTGAATTTCAAACTTTCACCCCCTGATTGTTGGTTACAACCCGACCGATTATTACTTTTTTTTATTATTTTTGTTTTAGTTAACCTAATCCATTTTCTTTTTTTTTTCTTTAAATTAATTAATTTCTTATTTATAAAATCAAAATCACAAAAATAATTAGAATGGGTTTTTTTTAATTAAATTAATTTTTATTAAACTTTTTTTTTAATTAATTAATTAGAGTTAGGGATTTCTTAATTTAACTTAAATATTTCTTAATCAAAAAATATAAAACAACCAAAAATATTTCTTTCTTTTGTCACTTAGAAATTTTTAGGGCTTTCTCTTCTCCGCGTAGTAATTTATTTTATTCGTATTTTTATTTTCAAATATTATGTAATTGCCAATAGATTGTAATAGCTTAATCTAGGACCTTTACATTTTCTTATCCCCCATTTTATTTTGTGTTGTACCCCAAAATTTTCCCTCTTATTTTACTCAATACATACTCCCAGAGATTCTCAATTTGCTCAAGATTGCCCAAGAGCTTACCAGACAAACTCTCTCCTAAGGCAGTATACCTCAAATTAGGGTTTCCCTTTTCATCAAGATGTGTGAACCACAAAGGAATCAAATGCTTCTCAAGGTCCTAATATGTTCCCAAGATCATCCATGTCAAGTTTCATGCCTTGCAAAAAGAAGTTTGCTCAGTCAACTGCTCAAATGCTTGAGAATCGACTATATTAGGTCAAAAGTCAATTGTGACCCACATATAGTCAAACCTCAATATTTTTGGTCAAAATCAACATTTAGAATTGATTTCCATCATTTGATCAAGGGTTGATCATGATTCCTCAAAGAATGCTCTAAATTCATCAAAACCCAAAAGATGCTAAATTAGGGTTTCTTAGGAAAAGTCAACCAAACTTTGACCAAGTATAACTTCTTCATACGTTATCAGAAATTTTCCATCCAAGGCTCATTTTGAAGAGGATGCAATTCCCTACAATTCATATTCATCCCACAAGTTCAAAATATGCACTCATCAAAAGATATGAATTTCTACATTATAGGTCCTTTTGAAAAGTCAACAAAAATACCTTTTGGGTCAAAGCTTGGTACATGAACATGGAAGACCCAATTGAAATGAAACCAAAAGTTTTGGTTAAGGGACATCCTAAGCTTTCTAAAAAGTCCAAGAACACCCTCCTAGGGTCAAAATTGAGAGAGATATGCATTGTCAAAGTTGGAAATTTTTGGAAAATTGTCAAAAGTCAACATTGATCAAATTTGCATTTTTTCCAAAGGGGCCTATGTTTTCTTGTTTGAAACATGTTTCTAATAGGACCCACGACCCCTGAACTTTTCCACCTATTATTCTATTATTTTTGTTATTTATTTTGATTTTATTTCATTTAAATCAAAACAAATCAATATAAAATAGTAAAATAATGAAATAAAATCAAATCCTTTATTTTTTATGCACATTTTGAGTCCATGTACAGCTAACATGCCAGCCAATTCGTGCAAAGTGGATTTGGATTGAAAAAGATTGGATTGAAGCTTGTTTTAGAAATATATCATACAAGAGCAAATCAAATCCAATTTCCATTATTTCTCAAGATTCATGCCAATTTTATTGACCTAATTCAGTCTACTATAAGTGCATAACAATTGCAGATCAAAGCACAAGTGCCGCAGTCGCGAAAAGGCCAAAAGCAAACTCAAATTTTTTGACAAAAAGTGAGGTTCAAATTCTGGGATAGAGGGCTATTCAAGGCGATTAAAAGCCATAAATCAATTCCTTGGCATCTCAGGAAGCATTCCCAACCATTTGCAGGCTCCAAAACATCAAGAATCCTCGCATAGAAGTATCACAGTTTGCATCCCAAACTCAAATTTGATTTCTATGTTTTACGCATCATAAATCCATTCTATTCATATATCTTTGTTCATAACTGTGTTTGCGAGATTTCTATATCCTTTAATTGTATTAACAGTGCAAGAATCAATACTTACCATTGTTAGGGTTTGGGGTCACGATTTGAGGATTCCTGGTACAGGTTAAATTAGGCTAAGAATGAGGTACCATGATGCTCGTGAGGCCAAGTCGAGTTGATTGGTACCATTACAATTAATTTATCATGCTCGTATGAGATTTTTGAGTTTTGCAAGGCTGTAGTTACAGCAAACGTCTGTAGGTATAGGTCAATAACCTAAGACGACGGACAGGGAAGAAGACAATGACTTGTCACCATCCCACTAGTCCATTTGAACTCACGCGCGTTTTTCTGGGCATCATGTGCTTTTATCTTATATTATATTTCATTTATCTATGTTAACAAAAGAACAAGCAGCACAGATGGTTAAGAGGCGCACCTTTGATGCACACGTCCTGGGTTCGATCCCAGGCGTGTGCATTTTGTTATTTTCCTATTTATTTCAGCCAGATCTGGTGTTTCTCTTCAAATAAGCATACCATGGACCTACGCCTCATCACCATTGGATGGCACGCTGCCTAGATCCAATGTCTCTAGATTGCATCCTCATGATGGACCTCATGAAGGCCAGCTCCATGGGGTTTAACGCAAGGAGCATGGGCTCAATGCAATTGGGCCTAACAATTCAGCAATGTCACCCCAAATATGGGCCTGCACCCCCTCAGGTTTAATTTCTTTCTTTTTATTTTTTACTATTTTTATCTTTTAATTATTCTTAGTTCAAAAATTAATTCTTTT